AAAAAAAAAAAAAAAAATTATTATGTAAAAAAAATTTTTTTTTTTTTTTTTTTTTTTTTAACAACAAAAAGGTGGCTTTTGCCTTAGTGGATACTTTAGGAAGGGTTAGAAAAATTCTGAAGTGTGTATATATATATATATATAGAGCAGTTCCATTTCTTCTGCCGCTAGCTTAGATTAGCAGAAAATGCAAACAAGTTGTCAAATAACCAAGAAAGTAAGTATACAATTAGGACAGTTACTTTGGGAAAGCAAACCAAAGCCTAGGGGACTTGTCCATTGACTAAAATTTAAAGATTCTACTAGTTCCTTCTAGCCTGGAGGACAAAGACCTGGAGAACAGTTCGGTGCTCAGCAGTAAGTCAATGCTAGCATGGATCAGTGGTGTGGGCACCCACCTGCTTTTTTTGTTTCCTTCTCAGCTGCCTTGTCTCAGCTCTTATGACAGCTACTGCAGTAATCAAGTGGCTGCCAAAGCCCTGCTGGACCATAAAAAACAAGATCATCGAGTGCAAGATTTCCTTCAGCGATGTTTAGAATCCCCCTTTAGCCGCAAACTAGATCTCTGGAATTTCCTTGATATCCCAAGAAGCCGGCTGGTGAAGTACCCTCTGCTTCTCCGAGAAATCCTGAGGCACACCCCAAACGACAGTCCAGACCAGCAGCACTTAGAAGAAGCTGTGAGTGTGCCGGTTGCTTTCTCTCTCCCTTTATTTCCTATGTAGTGGCTAGTAGATCAGGTCAGTGGGGGAGCTGTGGGTCACTGTGTGTGGGGGACCCAGCCCTAATCCAACCATCAAGCCACGCTTGGATTCTAGGCCTGGTACAACCTTCAGCCTTTTTTATTTTGAGAGTCACTTGTCATCTCTCTACTGCAGTTTTCTAAATTATAAAACATGCTGTTTGCCTGAAATGTACTTTCAGGTTTCTTTGAGTGTAAAAATTTTTTGGTTTTGTATAGGTGACTCTAATCTAGTTATGCTTGCTGACTGTTAAAATCTTTGTGGAGACCTTAAATTGACAATCTTATTTAGTAAGAAAATGGGCATTACTCTTGAGCCTAGCCCCAAAGCCCATTTGTGAAGGCAGGTGGCGTCCGTTCCATTTGCGATGTAGCTCCCCTACCCCCAGTTTCAGGACCTGGTCTAACCTCCTGCTCACCACAGAGCTCCTTCTTCAGCACCTGTCTATTGGATATGGGCTGGGTAATGCAGGAAGTCCAGATTCTTCCCTTACAGCAGTAGAAGGCAAAGGAAAATAGTCTGTAGCATCAGAATATTGCAGCAAACTCTGAGCATTTCACCTGGGCCATTGTGAGGCACTGTGCCACATAGGGCAGAGAGACAGGCCAGTGCAAAGCAGTGGCCTAAGCACAGATGCAAGGAAATGGCAGGGCAGGTCACACCTGGGAAATAGCACGAATCACCTGTTTGGGGTTGAGGAGTCTCTGCAGGTGAGGTAAAGAATGTGGGCTCGGATCTGGCTATAGTATGATTTAAATATCAGTTTGAGAAATTTTCCAGAGTTGTGTAATTAGTTGAAGGTTTGTTTTGTTTTCTGAGTGGTTGGGATCAGCTCCATCACTTACAAGCTGCGGAACTCTGGACACATTGCTCTATACAGCAGGGGCCTGAGGAAGATGAGACTGGGGACAGGGAGGCCACTGGGAAGGACGGTGCAGAGGTCCAGGTGTGAAGTCGTGAAAACCTCATGGTGGGGTGGGGGGTGGGCTAAAGGCTGATGATTCAAAGGGCTCATTCCCTGATTTAATCTCGCATAGAAACAGGAGGATATGCACGAGTAATTAGAAAATCAGAAGCCTTGAATCTGCTGAGCAAACCGCCTGTCTCCTTCCAGAGAAAGGTTTAATAATAACAAGTAGTATCACCACCAGCAGCAACAAGAATGTGGTCATTACTGACATTTAATGAGTACACGATAAATCAATTTTATGTAATTGCTTTATAGATTATATACTGAAGCTAACATTCATAACCACCTCTGAGATAGTTAGCTTTCTTACTAGGGCCTTTTCTAGGTGAGGCTTAGAGCAGTTATATAGCTTGCCCAAACAAAATAAAATTTATTATAAATAAATAGCCAGGAAGTGATAGGGTTACTATTCAACCCCTGTCAATGTAGATTCTGAATCCTGTGCTTTTTTTTCCTTCTTTCTAACCTTGTACATCAGTGCGGAAAGCTGCCCATTCCTCAGAGCTCCCGTTGCCTCTGGAATTGCAGAGAGCGGTGTAGACACCAGAGAGGCATTGTGGCGAGGTCTCAGGGTGTAAGGCTGGGCTGGGTCCCGCCACATAGGAGAGCGAAGAGTGAGGAAAGCACCTCCTGACTCCTGAGGTGTTCAGTGCAGCTGGCAGGCCCCACACAGACCCAGCCCCCGGGGCATCACAGCGCAGATGGCGGGGACTCAGCCTGGGGACAGGGCCGTCCTACTTCATCCTGTCTGTTTCTGTTGCTGGGAGGAGCATGATCAAGTTGCCACCTCTCCATGTTTCATGCCCACAAATGTGTGATCTGCAGGAATAAAAACAACAGGGAGGTCCAGCGACTCTAAATAATTACTTTTGTGAAGCACATGAGCCTGTTCAGAGTTTTAGTATAAATATTTTCTTCTTTTTAAAAAAACAGAATAAAAGAATACCCTTCTCTTTTTTGAGAAACACACCCAGTGAGCTAAAAATGAATCTAAAAACAGATAAAAATATTATTGTTTGCAGCATGAAAGGGAGTGCCAGTTATCAGTCTCTCTAGTACATAAAGTGGGAAGCCGTTTTCAAAAGGTGACCTGGCGCCTAATTATTCGGGAAGATCTGTGGGTGAAGCACAATATACTTGCATTTAAAAATGTCTGCAAAACAAGTCTTCTAAGTGCCTGTTTATTCCGGTGTGGGGTTGTTTCTTTCTTCCTTTTTGTTCCTTTCACAATCCTTGTAGCATTATCCCAGATGAACCCTTATTATTTAGCTCCGCACTCTTGGGTACATTGTGAATGTTTGACGAACATAAAACTCATAATACCAGTGTAGCTGGACTTACATGTTCCCTGAATAAATAGCCCGTCCATGCTAAGGGCAAAATCAGGGTGCTGAGTGAATTGCTTCCATGCCAAAAGAGTTGATTACATTCAGTCCTATGATTAGCTCTAAAGAAAGGACCTTTAATGCAGTACATAAACTACCTCATTGTTTTTAGAATTTCTTAATAGTGTTTTGAGGGAAGGTAGTAATTTCTCCCATCAAGAACTTCCTAAAATAGAACTTTGGCTATTCAAATATTCCAGCGAGATGGTTGTTTAATATTTTAAATTCTAAATGTTGTTTCATCCAGAAAATATCCTGCAGACCGTCCCTTCTTCCAACCCACCACTATTTTCCAACCCCTTGGAAAAAGAACTCACTGAAATAAATGAGAAAAACAGTCCTACTTTTGATGCCGTAACAATGAAGACACTTATTCTTGGTTCCTTTCAGGAGCTGATGAGTATGTGACATTGTGACACAAGGGACTAGAAGGGCAGGGTTTTCAGATTCCACTTGGAGGATGATGATTCCAGCATGTGTGGGCCTAATCTCTGTACTTTTGTATTTCTCATCATCTCCCTATACAGTCCCTTCCTTTAGTTTAAAGCCTGGTGGGACAATGCAACAATAAATTTAACTTAAATGCACAACTGCCGTCGTTTATTACTGGAAGGCTGCTGCATGTAAGTGTATGACTCCCTGACATCCTGCACAATAAATTGGGTCCCTCCAGACCCGTGCAAGAAGATAAGAACCTCAAGGTGTTCATGTAGACAAAAGCAAAACATTATTTTTAATAAATGAAATCAGGCCAAAAATTACCAGAACAAATGCAGACATGAAGTATGGGATAACACTGATTATTCCCATTGTTTTGCCTCCGTATTTTTTTCAAATAGCAGAGAAGGAAGCAATATTTGAAAGTAGTCGTGGCTGCCTAAGGAACCATGGTGTCATTTGAGATTATGAATCTTCATATGCTGTACCAGCTGTTCAGTTCCGGAGTTGAATTAGGAAACGATTACATTGTTGTGGCTGTGGTGCATCTTCTTCCTGGTTTCCTGGATACTTGTAAGGCACCCAGAAAACCGACTCGAGCGCTGACGAGTTCCAGCTGTCCAGGCAGACCTAGTAATAGTTAACTGATAAGCCGCAGTCATTAATCCTGAGGGCTTTGAGAGCAAAGAAAAAATATGGATTTTGCTACATACTAAAAACTGAAGACAAGTGAAAGGATAAGGTAGACAGAAAGAACTGCTCAGATACTGCCCACGTATTCAGGCTTTCTTCGGGCAAAGACCCACCCTCCTGTCTTTGACCCACCCACCTTGTTAGTCTAACACAGAACAACAAACTACACTAATGTGAAAGTTGAATCGTGGCTTTAATATATTTTGTGAAATTATTTTTCGTTTGATTTGCAAGTGACAGTGACTGCCAAGAAGGGAAAACCAAGAAGGGAAGGGGCCAGGGATTTGGCTCAGTGGTGCCACTGCCTGCCTCAAAAACCAAGAAGGGAACAAAGAAATGAAGACAATATTAGTATGCCAAGGTGTTATTTATTACTTGCTTTTCCTTAATAAAACTGATTGATTTTACAATCCTTACATTTAATGTTAGGTTGATATCAAAAGCCAAAAACTTCTTTTATGTGACACTAAGGAGCCTGGTTTTTTTGTTTTTTGTTTTTTGGGTACCGGGGATGAACTCAGGACTTTTTGCTTATGGGGCAGGCAGCAGAACCTCTGAGCTACATCCCCAGCCCTGGAGCCTGTATTTTTAAAGAATAATGTGCTCTTGCTGGGGATGTAGCTCAGTGGTAGAGCACTTGCCTACCATGTGTGAGACCCTGCATTCAATCCTCAGTGCCCCCTGCAAAGTGTTCTTTTAAATTAAAATAGTGCTACCAGCAAAATCTGAAACCAGTTTTCAGAGTCCCCAGCACAATCCTGTTTTTTGGATTCCTGTGTTCTGCTTCGTTTTCTCTCCTTGGCTCAATTTCTTACCTGCCTACAGTTTCAACATTGTGAGAGTGTTTAAGAAATGTGCAAGACGGAGCTCACTAGTGGAGCCATAAACATCAAAGATCTACTCTGCCCAAAGACAAGGGTAGAAAAACTGAAAGTTTCACGAAGATGAAGGGGAAACACTTGAAGCCATAGGCACAGGCAAAGACTCAAATAGCCTGGAAATAATAGCATGAATAAACAATTAGGACGATATAGAATTAAAGTCTCTGCACAGCAAAGGAAACAACCAATAGAATCAAGAAACAGCCTACAAAATGGAAGAAAATCTTTGTCAGCTGCTCTCCCAACACAGGATTATTATCTAGAATATATAAAGACTCAAAAAACAGAACCCAAAAAGAAATAGCCCAGTCAATGAATGGGCAAATTATTGAACATACACTTCTCAAAAGAAGTACAAATGGCTATTAAGTGTGTAAGTGCTCCCAAGGATTCAGGGAAAAAGGTCACTGCTGCTGGGAATGTAACTTAGTGTAGCCACTATGGAAATCAGTGTGAAGATTGCTCAGAAAGCTAAAAATAGGACTGTCATGGCTCAACTATTCCACTCCCTGGCATACACCCAAAAGATTTAAGTCAGCCTAAAGGGTTACCTGCATACCCACATTAATTACTGCACAGTTCACAATAGCCAAAGTATGGAACCAGCCTAGGTACCCATGAACAGATGAATGGATAAAGAAAATATGATGAGTATATACACAGTGAAGTACTATTCAACCATAAAGAAGAACTAAATTACATCATTTGTTGGAAAGTGCATGGAAATAGAGATCGTCATGTTAAGTGAAATAAGCCAGACTCAAAGACGAGTCTCGTGTTTCCCCTAATATGTGAAATCTGAAAAAGTTGACGAGAAAGTAGCAGGGAGACTATTGTTAGACAAAAGGAAGGGAATAAAGGGGAGGGAAAGGAACATGAGAGAGGCTAATAGGTTAGATGGGAAAAAGTTATTAGTTATATCATGAAGCTGACCTGAATTTACGGAGATGCAAAAGTGTCCACTCTATTCCATTAAGGGAAACAGTAGGTTATAAAACAGTACGTATGGCACTATTAATTTTTTATTTTTAAAAATACGTGTATGTGTAGAGCTATCGCAAAATCATCTAGAATGGTATTCATGTAACTCTTAATTTCTCTGGAAGTGAAGTGCTACGCACATTTTTCCTTTCGTTTAAGGCTATTTTGGCTTAGGCTTTTATACAGTGTTTCTAAGAGGAAGAAATTAGGAATTGGTGTTAAACATGTAAACTGATGGATACGTTAATTAGCTTGGTTGTAGTAATCATTTCACAACATAGGTGTAAGTATCTCAAAATGTTGCAAATCTTATATATGATTTTGTCAGTTATACTCAATTTTTTATGATTTTTTTTCCTTTTTAATTAATCCATAATAATTGTACAGGGAAGGACTCTTGAAGCTCAAACACATGATGACTGTAATCATTAGGTACTGCAAACATGTCCTAATAAAAAGTGTTTTTAAAAAAGATCAAGCACAAAGATGACTTGTTCTCTAGTCAACTCCAATTGTTCAGTGTGGTAACAAGGAAATAAAAGTTATAAGAATTGGAAAGGAAGAATCAAACTTTGCAGTACAATTACACATAAAACAAACATCTGATAGATTAACAGATTGAGAGGTTACCAAGTTTGCTGCATTAAAATCAATAAACAAAAAATGACTACTTTTATACCTCAAAATTTCAGAAAAAGAAGTTAGGTGTGGTGGCACAAACCTGTGATCACTTGGGAGGCTGAAGCAGGAGGATTGCCGTGAATTTGAAGCCAGCCTGGTTTGCATAGCGAGACTCTGTCTCCAAAACAAAAAAATAATAATAATAATAACAATAAAAACTGAAAAAAGAAAAAGAGGGCTGAAGCTGTGGCTCAGTGGTGAACACACACACAGACACAAAGAAAGGTATTAAAACAGGTACCAGGGCCGAGGACGTGGCTCAGTGGTTCCGCCTCCTGCCTCGCAAGTGCAAAGGCCCAAGTTTGATCCCAACTACCAAAAAACAAAAAAAACAGGTACCAAAGCTAGGTGTAAAGGTACACACTCATAATCCTAGCTACTACTCAGAAGGCTGAGACAAGAGGGTCAGAAGTTAAGAGGCCAGCCTGGCCATTTAGTGAGATTTTAAAAAGGGCTGGGGCTGGTAATGGGGTTGCACCCCTGTAGTGGGAGATTGGGAGGCTATGTACTGCACTTCTGAGTGTGTGTAATTCAGGTATCTGTTTATATGTATAAATATATATGCATGTGTTTATAGTAAAATATACTAAAAGCATTTTTTTCCTTTTCTCAAAGAAGTAGCTTGAGATTACAAGAATCTCAGATCCAAGTGTCTTGGTAACGTCTAGATTGGCCCTAACACTTGTTAGAAGTAATGGTGTGATTACTTTCTGTGCACTTATTTTTCTTTTTCTTTCCATAGATAAACATCATTCAGGGGATTGTGGCAGAAATCAACACCAAGACTGGAGAATCTGAATGTCGTTATTATAAAGAACGGCTTCTTTACTTGGAAGAAGGCCAGAAAGACTCCTTGATTGACAGTTCGAGAGTCCTGTGTTGTCACGGTGAACTGAAGAACAACCGGGGTGTGGTGAGTGGTTTCTGTCCGTACAGCTCTCTGTAAGGGCCTCTTGACACGGAATCCATTTGATCTGAGCTTCTTTTTTCCTAGTCTTTTCCTATCATGTTCTTGTAGACAAAAATTTTTTTCTGTTTTTCTATTCCATGAGATGGATGGATGGATGGATGGATGGATGTCATGACAGAATATTCAGTATATATTCAGAAAGACTTTTGGAAGCTAATATAGGTTTGCTAAGCCTTATATCTTTTCAATCACAGTTTTCACCAAATATAGAACAGTTAACATCTCCATTTTTTTTTCGTGGACAGACTCTTGCTAAGTTGCTCAGGCTGGCATTGAAATCCTGGGCTGAAGTGATCCTCCTGCCTTAGCATCCTGGCTAGCTAGGACGATAAGCATGCGCCCTGTGCCGGTCTACATCTCCTACTTTGATCTCAGAAGATAAATGGGTGATTTATCAAGGCGTGGTGATGTATACCTGTAATCCCAGCTGTTGGGAGGCTGAAGCATGAGCTATTTCCCTGAGTTCGAGGTCAGCCTGGGCCACCTAGTAAGTTTACGGACAGCTTGAACTATGTAATGAGAACATGTCTCAAAACAAAACAAGTAGGGCCAGGGATTTAGCTCAGTGGTTCCGGCACCTGCCTTGCAGGTGCAAGGACCCAAGTTCAATCCCTGGTACCAAACACACACACATACACACACACACAAAAGCAAGTAAGTGGGTGATTTAAAGAGATTGTTAAAAGGATTTAATATCCAAGCCAGGCATGATGGCACACGCCTGTAATCCCAGCACTCGGGAGGCTGAGGCAGGAGGAGTGAGACCCTGTCTCAAAAAACTTAGCTCTTACATTGAATGCATTTAATTATATGAGAAACTCTACTTTCTCAGGTACTGGCACCCATCCAAAGACTGGCGCTTTGAGATCAGGGTTTTGTTTTGGCTTTTGTATTTTGGGATTTTGTGCGGGGTGGCATGGGTTAAATAACTTATCTTCCATAGGCTTCACATTTAGCTATGACCTGCAAATACTCCACTTAGCTTTTATTTCCCACTAGCTATTGAAGTTGTTACTCTTCTACTTTTGTACAACTTGTGCAGCTGTCCGCTGCAGTCCTTACTAGAGTGGGTTGTAATTCTCCGTCTGCCTGTCAGTCTCTCCCATGATACCACAGTCTTTTAGAGTGGGACATGCGCTGTGTCACTTCCCAGAACTTGGCACATATGAGCACTCGATGAATGTGTGCTCGCATAGAGGAAGGATAGACTTGAAGTATATAAGAGGTAACAATTCATTTAATTCATCAAGGTATCTGTATGTGGAATCGAGAGAGAGAGAGAGAGAGAGTGTGTGTGTGTGTGTGTGTGTGTGTGTGTTTCTTCCTCCATTGGACCCCCAGGGAAGTACCTGTAGGAAAGATATTTCTGGAAATGTTTCAGGCCTCCCAACTTCTGTTCTCCTGGAAGTAGGTTTGGCCCTAAGAGTTGATAATTCACTGGGAACCTGGGGACTTCTTGCTGTAGAGGTCCGCAAATCCACCACATTTTAGAGTTTTGCTTAGTGAAATCTTGTGGGTTCTTTCTTTCTAGAAACTCCATGTTTTCCTGTTCCAAGAAGTGCTTGTGATTACTCGAACCGTCACCCACAATGAACAGCTGTGCTACCAGTTGTACCGACAGCCAATTCCTGTGAAGGATCTCCTGCTGGAAGACCTGCAAGACGGAGAAGTGAGGCTGGGCGGCTCCCTGCGAGGGGCTTTCAGCAACAATGAGAGAAGTAGGTGGTAACCGTCTGGGTGCAGTCATTGAGGGGTTTTAGCCATGGTCATTTGGAGGGAGCACTTGGCTGGGGAAAAGAAAAGATACAGAGCCTTGTAGTCGTACTGGATCTCGGTGCTACCTCTTCATTTAATGATTGTGTGATGTTATTCCACCTCCTTGAGCTTCACTTTCCTATCTGCCAAGGGGATACAAAGCTACCTCCTTTGTAAGGTTGCTTTAAGGATTAAGATACTGGAAGTGAACCACTGCCACGTGGCTTGTGGCACTTTCTTTGACTTCTGCTATTGGGCAAAAATGTGTTTAATATCAGAGTCCTGATGTGAGTTCTAGTTGCATAATGATGGGTTTTGTAGTTGTTGGTAGGCTCAGCTCCACAGAGGCTTAAGAGTAGTCAGCTGGGATGCATATTTATCCTGTAAATCACTCAGTGGGCATCTCTAGCTTGTGAATTATTAAATTAATGGGATTAACCAAGAGAAGCTAAGGTAGCAATGGCTATCAGATATCTTCCATGTGTCAAGCACTGTTCCAGACAGGAGTATACAGTAGTGAACCAAACAGTTAAATTCCTTGTCCCTGTAGAGTTTACACTGTCATGGAGGAAACAAATGATAAATGTTCCTGGTGCTGGTTAGAAAACTAAAACCAAAAAAAGAGATGAGAGGAATAGAACAGGGTCTGTTTTGGATGACATCATCAAGGCAGTCTTCTTTGAGAAATTAACATTTGAGCCTCTGGGATTAGCACATGCATCACGTTATTGAAGTAATTAGTGTAGATCGCCTGTTTCTTGCTCATCAATCCCTGCCGCCACTGTGGTGGTAGCAGTAGTAGAAGTAAAAGCTTTTATTTCTTGATCACTATGTGCCATACACTGTACACGTACTTACAGGTAGCATCACATTTATTCCCTACAACAGCCATATACGGTAGATTCTTGATGTTTCCCCCTTTTTGTAAATAAGGAAACTACGTGAGACAGAGAGGCGGTAAGCAGTGGTAGCAGTCCTGTGGCACATGTACCGCTGCAGACTGCGGTTATCGTTGAAAGTTCTAGAAGGTTCGCCATCACTGAGTTAGGGTGTTCACCCAGGATCAAGGGCAGAGCCTGACCGTACGGAGGTAGGATTAACTTCTAGGCACAGTCGGGTAGCAGTGAAACATTTGGTCCTCCTCTGCTTTGTTGCTTAGTCTCTCAGCCATCTGAAGTGGAGGCTCCCGGTGCGTTGGTGACAGGAGTAGTATGCCGGGGCTGACCGGGTGAACCAGGTGTTGCATTGCATGCGGCGCACACAGCCCATTGCGCACCAGCTAATGTGGTTGTTAGATGGGATCAGATATCTCCCATACTGTGCACTACCATTTTTTAAATGCCTGTTACTTCTGTTGAGATCACTGCAAGGTAACTTCATTTTTAAATAAAACCAAATTTACAGCAGACCTATGTCCTTCAGTACCTTTTCGATCATTGAGCACTGAAGGTACAGGTGCTCTCATGTGGAGGACCATGGCAAGTTCTACAAAGAGCTTCTTATACTGGAGAACATGCTTATCTTGGAGCACCTGAGATTGCAGATTATCAGGCCTACTTCAGATCTGCTGAATCAGAATCTCTAAGGATAGGGCCGAGGGATTTGTATTTTTAACAAGCTCTCCAAGGGATTTTGATATGTGGATAGGTTTGGTAACCAGGACTCTGGGGTCCCCTGAAATACAAAATTTCAGCTTTCCCCCCCAAAATTCTGAGAGTTATTCTGAGAGTAACTAGGGCAACTGGAAGCCAGGTCTATGTCAACTCCAGGTGCTCGATGTGGCATCAGGTGGAACTGAGCTGTATCCTGATGCAGTGGGAAATGTTTCATAATCATCAACATGTACCTTGGGTACTGGGGGTTAATGTCACTACGTGTATTATTCTTGGCCTGGGGAAATACCTACCACTGGTTTATATATATATACATACATATATGTATATCTTTGTCATTTCTAGTTAAAAACTTCTTCAGAGTCAGTTTCAAAAACGGATCTCAAAGTCAAACCCACTCATTACAAGCCAATGATACCTTCAATAAACAGCAGTGGCTCAACTGTATTCGTCAAGCCAAAGAAAGCGTTCTGTGTGCTGCCGGGCAGGCAGGGGTGCTGGACTCCGAGGGACCATTCCTAAATCCCGCCACTGGGAGCACGGAGCCCCAGGGAGAAACGAAACTCGAGCAGATGGACCAATCGGACAGTGAGTCGGACTGCAGCATGGACACAAGCGAGGTCAGCCTTGACTGTGAGCGCATGGAACAGACAGACTCTTCCTGTGGGAACAGCAGGCACGTGGAAAGCAATGTCTGACCCAAGGGCGAGTCCCTCGTGGAAGTGGCCCTGTGTCTTACCTGTACAGTGTTTGCATTCCACACATGCAGTGCAGCGGTTTGGAGAAGCACTTTTAATACTTTTGTGACCATCTCGGCTCAGCCTCTTGTATCTGTTACCTTTGTCTCTAGTACTGTAACTGCCAACTGAGCTGTCTGTGTCGGCAGGAACCTGGCAGCCGTTACCCTGTACTGTATCTAATAAGTGTCTGGATGGATGGAGAGGTACTTTCAGTTGTCCTGCTGGATTTTTAAAAACAGAAAACAAGAGAGAGATCTAAACTACTGTTTAATGTCGATTGCTCAAAGAGTTCTTCCTCCCATTCTTCTCTGCGCTTTTCTAGCTCTGGTATGGTGGCTGAAGGCATGGGATTTAGAGGGCTTTGCCAGTGGAATTTGGGATGGCATTTGAGGGAGAACTAGGAAAAACTGACCGTTGATCTGAAAACTTGGTTCTGTATTACTCATCCAGCAAGCGTGAAAACATCCCTGGGGGTTCCGAAGGTTTAATTTTACAGAGGAAGAAGTATTGTTCGAACCTTACGATTTCCTCCAGTGCAAGTTTGATGCAGTAATCGGTGAGGACATGAAATAGAGGCTGACTTTGGAAGAACCGGGACAAAAGCAGCTGCCAGCTCTGCATTTTTAACTAAAGTGCACGCGGCTCCAAGAGGTATCTGTCAGGGTTGGTGGCCCACCATAGAAAGCTATTTGCAGCCTAAAATATCAGAATAGAAAACAAAGGGCCCAGGAAAGCCTACCGGGATAATGAGGAAGCCCTGTCTTCATTTGGTTTCGCTTGCCTAGGCCACCTGTATTTTACAGTGGGAATGAAGGGATAGGAAGAGGGATGATACCTGGATCAGTGACTGATTACAGAGCACATGAGAACAATTGGGAAAAGCGCTTCCTTAGGGTCTTCTATGGGAACCATTAAAACAGAAAAGCAAGAAAGCTCGGCCAGCGCCTTCTGAGAAAGGCCACAGCCTTGGGATTTCCTGCTGTGTTTTCAGGTCATCCATTTGCATCTCTGGTTCTGTGCTGTCATCAGACTCATAATTACATTTTCCAGAGGCCAATTTCATTAACTGATTACTTAGGATCAGCTAGCGAAGCTTGGAACCTCCTTGTCCAGCCTTGACTTACAGAGCAGGGTGGCTTGCAGACCTTTGGACAGAAAAGTTAAGAACATACACAGAGAAAGCTCCCTGTGAATGTAAATATTTAGAAGGACCTGTGCAAAATTATACCCACACCAGCACTAGTAGTAATGATTCTAAATTATTGCCAAAAATTGTTTTTAATCTTCTGTGTCTTTCACGTTTACAGAGAAGAAAGCAGCAAGGACAATGTTGTCATTTTATTGTGTACGTAGATCATGTGCATTCACAGAAGCTGTATAACAAGAGTTAATGATAAAAAATAAGGTATATTACATTATTATTTTTCAAAAGCAAAAATATTATGGTCAATTTTACCCTGTAAAACATATTTATAGATTTTAAACATGGTGAATTTTTTCTACTACAAGTTTATTTAAAACTACTTTGTTTCTCAAGTTGTAATTTAGCAAGTGAATGAACCTGCTGCAGCTAGAAGCTGAGAAAAGTCCTTCAGTGGTGGGAAAAGAATGAATCCTTCTTTGGAGAGCCGTTGGCCCCTTTAGCCAATGTACCGAGAAGAGAGGTTTGTCAAGTGCTGGCCTGTGGGAAGGAAGTCACTGAGTGTTTTGATGGAAGGAATGTTTTTGTGTAATGGCCTTAAACTTTTCTGGAAGCATTTCCAATAAATTACATTAAAATGGCATCCTCTGTGTGCACACTGTTTGTTCTACAACCATCACATTTCCGCTGTCCTGGGGCAGGGGATTCCTTCTCAAATTGGCTTGCGCTTCCCAAACACAAACAGTAGGACGCAGATTGGTTTGGTGTACCAAAGTTTTGCAGAATTTAAATATCTATTTTTAAAAGTACTCTACATTCATTTGCTTATTTTAATAAATCTAGCCTTATTATTTATGATTATTTATCTAGCTCACGTCCGTACTCTGTTTAAAGTCAAATGATAAATCGTGGTTGACACAGAAAGGAAATGTTGAGTCTCATTGCCAGTGTAGGTCGCTGTTGATGAGCTCGAGGCTAAAGAAGGCACATTTCGCTTTGGAATTCCTACTGGAATTTCAGTCCACTCTTTCATGAAAGTTATTAGTTTTATTTTCCATAAAGAATAGTTTTTAGATGAAAAGGCTATACTCTGCTGAGCTTTAGTAGCCACTCCTCAGTAACACATTGGCCCAATCAGGCTGGTAGTTAGTTTTATGTTATAAGCTTTGACCATTTTCTTTACCATGCCTCTAATTCCCGGATGAGTCAGATGCTCACATAAATAAATGTTAAGTCTGTATTTTTTTCCTCAAATGAAAACTTGCTTCTCTCTCTCTTTTTTTTTTTTTTGGTTTTTTCAGACAGGGTCTCACTATGTAGTTGAGACTGACCTGGAACTCACTGTGTAGCCCAGGCTGGTCTCGAACTCACAGTGATCCTCCTGCCTCAGCCTCCTGAGTGCTGGGATTACAGGCGTGTGCCACCACACCGGGCATGAAAACTCACTTCTCTTTATCTTCTTCTTCCTCTCTTTCTCCTTCATGTCCTTCTGTGGTGCCTCTTTGGATGCTCACTCCCTTTTTGACCTCTGCAATTGTATGGCTGTTAATACTAGAGAACGTATCTTTACTAATATATTAGTGTTTGTACTGACATTTGATGGGTTGTACAAATGACTTCTGGCTAAGTGATTTTCTTTGCTCTATTTTCCAATGTTATTTTACACCCTGTAATCCTTGCAGCCTACATGAAAAGTCGTAAGTAATAAAGTCAGCACCAGCACTGTGGTGCGAAATTAGAGTGCGGTTTAAGCTTCTGGGTTGTGGTCACCACCACTGCTTTAGTTTCCATTCCCAGTACAGTCCCCAGAGCTAAGACAGCAGACTCTTCTTAGCCACAGTCATTTCAGCAAAGACTGTGTGGTTACAGGAAGTTACAGTACATGAGTCTGGTCAACAAGCTCTTCAACTTTCCGTTTATGTTCTGTCCATCTCCATTTTTTTATACTTTTACAAAACCCATCTCCATTTTACTCCCAGGAAGCTTTGGTAAAGAGAATGCACAGCCAATTTCACCCATGTGCGTTTATTTCCCTGGATGCCCTTGGCCTTTGGAAATAGACGCTGAAAACTCATTTCTTTGAGGCAGTTTAATTTGTGCTGTCTTGTTTGTTCTGTAGCAGAATTCTGTAATTTACAGTATCAGAAGGGAAATGGGAGAGGGTTTCCCAGGCCCAAACCTACCAAGAGAAATCTGAAAATCCTAAGATACAGGATAATAAAACCTTGCTTACACGAGGAAGCACACAGTGTAAAAAGGTAACTGCAGTCACTAAGCTCAAAGGTATTTAGGCAAACAAGTTGCAAAATTATCACTGCAACTAGCGTAATTATCATTAATTACATTGTATCTCTCTTCTCCAGGTGTGGTTGGCATTTCAGCCAGCTACATAGCTGACCCAGACAAAGCAGTTCAGTTTGACCTGGGGAAATGGCAAACAACTACCAGCCACATACTCTGTCTTTGAGAGCAAATTATTTATTTCAGGCAACAGGACATGCATTCCAAATAGCTTGTGTTTTTACTCATACACATTCACACACAAATACACCTGCCTGTTAATGAGCCATGGGATCTCATCTGTGAAAGATTTGAGGAGAGAAATCACCCTCAAGTTTCCCTTCAGAGTGTCTGTTTCCATGTGTGTAAAACAAAACGCTGAACCTCCAGGCTCATTGAAAAGGTGAGACAGAATATGTGAAATCACTGCAGACTGTGGAAAGATAATGGCTTTTTACTCTTGTGACCTAATAATCACCTTTTCATTCATTGTACCACATACTTGAGCCTACTCAATCAGAGAATCTGGAATTTTTTTGTTGTATTTTTTTACTAGATATTTTCCCTTTCCCTTTTTTTTAAATGCTACTAGGGTTGAAATCAGGACTTCATACTGAGCTACATCCTACCCCTTTTTAATTTTCATTTATTTATTTATTGGTTTTTTGAGACAGGGTCTCACTGTATAGTTGAGACTGACCTGGAACTCACTGTGTAGCCCAGGCTGGTCTCGAACTCACAGCGATCCTCCTGCCTCAGCCTCCTGAGTGCTGGGATTACAGGCGTGTGCCCCCACGCCCGGCAGTTTTAATTTTTGAGACAGGGTCTCACCTCACCAGTTTACCCAGATTGGGTAACTTGAATTTATGATCCTCCTGCCTCAGCCTCCCAGAGTGCTGGGATGACAAGTGTGTGCCACGTTTGTGGTTACTTTCTTGTTCCTGAGACAAAATACCCAACACCTACAAATTAAAGGAGGAAAGGTTATTTGGGCTCACAGTTTATATAGAGTTTTCAGTCCATAGTTGGCTGGCCCCACAGCAGGCCAGCATGGCAAAGGAGAAACAGTTCATGGTGTGGCAGAAGGATGGATGGATGGATAGAGCCCCCTCCAGGCCGCACCCGCAGTGACCCATCTCTTCCCACCACACCTCACCTCCCAGCATCACACCCAGCTGTAACTGTCTAATCCGGTGTTGCGCTCATGACCCAGTCACCTCCTAGAATCTCCACCTGTGAGTACATGAGGCTTGAGGGGATATCTAGGTATGAACCATGACAGCCACCATACCTGGACAGCAGATACTTTAGTTCTCACAACATTTTGTTACTTCTTCCAGGAACCCAGAACAGCGGTGGACCTTTCTGAATGTGATGTCTTACCTCCCGGATTGCTATTCATTCTCTCCCCCACCCTTCTCTTGCTCTCCTTCCCCCGCTGTGCTCTACCACCAAGGTACATCCCCACGTCATAATCTTACTTTGTATCTCTTCATATTTTGTTCTGATCTCAAGATTTCCCCGCCTTTGATTTCTAACTCTTCTGTCAGTATGAGGAGAAGGCTGCCATCAGAGTTTTTTTTTTACATTAAGTTTATTGGTACATTTAAAGCAAACAATACAGTTACATTTATCATTGGGATCTTGTACCTTTACATGGTATGTCTTGGTTCTCTGTGTATTCCAGGCTGGCCTTGAACTCACTGTGTAGCCCAGGCTGACTTCTTAAAGTAATCCTCCTGCCTCAGCCTCCCAAGTGCTGGAATCCCTCACCACATTCACCCCATCAGTTTTTATTACTTTTTCTGTCATTGTTCTTGTATTTAGAGCATCCCTATTCTTACTCAGTGAAAGCAGTATCTTCTCTAAACTTTCTGAGGGCAGCACAGTTTGGTTGTATGTTTCTTCTTCATGCACTGCTTGTCTGGGGGTAATAATTACAGCTCATGGGATTGTTGGAAGAATTAGTTATACTAATACATCTAAAGTACTTAGAATCTAAAGCACTCACATATTTTTGTTTACCTGTCCGAATGCACTCTCTGCCCTGATCCACTCTTCTAGGTCCCTGTGTCATCAGCGGGGACTTCATCAGTGGGCTTTTCTTGACTGCAGTTTCTGGTTGGGTTTGGCCAAACACTAATGCTTGACATGGTGAACATTATACGTGTGTGCTATCATCACAGTTCATCCACCATTCTACTTTCTGCTTTCCGTTTTCATACGTTGTAGCTCAAAGATAGGAAGATGTTGGAAATCATCGAAGATGAATTTTTACATTCCTGTTTCTCGTTATTGTGATGAATTATTTTCTGAGAATAGAAGTGAGAGTATCTTTCAGAAACAAAGGCAAATATTTTTTCAAGCCAGGTGTGCCACATGCCTATCATCCCAGAACTTTGGGAGGCTGAGGCAGGAGAGTCAGAACTTCAAGCCCAGCCTCGGCAACTTAAGTGACTTAATGAGATCCTGTTTAATGTTTTCAACATATGTTGTTAGAACAATAGGATATGTGTATTCTGCAAAACAAAAATAATTTTCATGTTTACATCACATCACATGGGAGCTAATGCAAGTGGACTATATATATATATATATACACATATAATACCTAAAACTCTAAAACTTCTAAAGGAAATCAAGAAAATCTCTGTGATTTGACTTTAGACATACATTTCTTAAATATGACCCCTAAATCATATTTTTATAAAAACAAAAAAATGGTTAAATTAGATTTAATTAAAATTAAGAACTTCTGCTCTTCAGAAGATACAGTTAAAGACTGAAAGCAAGCCACAAACTGGGAGAAAAATATCTGCACATCCCAGCTCTACTAGAGGACTTGGATCTAGGATAGATAAAGAAAAAACCTCAAAATTCAGCAGAACCTAATTTTTAAAATGGGCAAAGTACTTAGACACTAGGCATGAAGTAAATAAAAATTAATATGAGAGTGTGCTACAAACTACTCACCTTTTCCAAATCTAAAATTAACAGACTGGCCGGGCGTGGTGGCGCACGCCTGTAATCCCAGCACTCGGGAGGCTAAGAGAGGAGGATGCTGTGAGTTCGAGACCAGCCTGGGCTACATAGTGAGTTCCAGGTCAGTCTCAACTATATAGTGAGACCCTGTCTCAAAAACCAAAAAAAAAAAAAAAAGTTGTAGTCACTATGGCAGAGAGAATGGCAGTTTCTCAAAAACTTAAAAGATGCTTCTACATCCATGGTCACTGTAGCACTGTTCACAACTGCTGAGAGAGACAACCGAGGATCCGTCAGAGCGGATTAACGAAATGTGGTGTATACTCAGTGCTCAAAGTAGTTAACTTTAGAAGTTTAAAATTTTTGTTTTTAAATGTATTATCATAAAAGACATTGCTGTCAGTCACCTGCAAAATGCTC